AAAAGAAAGAATTTTATACAAAAATTTCCATCTACAAAAGTCTTTTTAGTATAAATTTTATATTATTTATAATCAAAAGATGTGATATCAAGAACTGGCGTCAATTTCTAATTTAATAAAATAAAGAAACTTTACAGCAAAATACATTTATTTTGTAGTTCATTTTTATTTGAAAAGTCTCAAAAAGTTTCATTATTTCTACAAAAAACATATCAAAAAATGGTGCAAATATTTAATCCTATAAAGTAAAAAAGAAACTTTGCAAAGGTGAAAAAAGATGTTATCAATCCAAAATTAATGTCAATTTGTAGTTGCCAATAAAATTTTATTGAATTATTTTACTTGTGTTTATATAAAAATAAAATATAAAAGAAAATCTGATGCGTAAAAGAGAAAAAACGACGTGCAAAAACTTGACACGCCCGGGTCGTATTAAAACTACTTTTAATAATAACATTGAACTATGTGACAGACAAATAGAAAATAATTTAAATTAAAATTTAGTATATTTTAAGATTTTATATTTATATTTTTAAAGCTTATTTCTTTTTCAGTATTAACTAAATAAAATAAAATAAAACTAAAATAAAACTAAATAAAATAAAATTAATGAAATATATAATTAACTATTAATTAATGAAACATTTTTTTACATAAATAATGCGAGAAAGAGTTAAGAGTTTATTTTATTAGAATATTATCCAATTTGAACGCACATGTTTTAATATTTATTAATAATTATTAATAAAGTAATTCTCGGTGTTAAATATAATGTAAAAATTAAGGCAAATAAGAATCAGCGTTGTTCACAGTGCGCTACTTTTAAAGCAGCTTACGCTACAAAAAATGAGCGAGGAAAAGGATGTGAGAAATCACATAGACAAATTTTTTGATACAGTAGATAAATTATTGACTATGAATGTTGAAGTGAATGAGAATTTGCTCAATTGAGAATTTGCTAATGTTATTGTATAGTTTGCCATCCTTGTTTGAAAATTTCAGATGCGCAATAGAATCAAGGGATGAACTACCAAAGCCCGAAAATTTGAAAGTCAAGATTTTAAAAGAATCTCTCAAGCTAGACTACAGAAGATTAAAAAAGGCGAATCAAGCACTATCGTGGTTGTCTCAACATACAAAAAATATTCAGAAAATAAATCAAAGAAGTATAAAAAGGGACAAGAGGATAATTGAAAAAAATCGAGTAAGATAAATAATAAGTTCTTTTAGTTTAAAATGCTACAGGTGTCAAAAAGAGGGGAACACTGCAGCAAAGTGTAGGAACAAATGCTCGTTTACAAAGAATGAAAATGCAAATAAAGCGACTGATGAGGATGTTTATTTTGCTTTCGTTGGAGATGCTAATAAATATGATACGATATGATCGATGAAAGATGGATCCTGGATAGTAAGGCATTTATATAATAATCAGAGTAATTTCGCAATGATGTCTAATGAGGTATATGAAAAACTAAATCTAGCAAGTAATTTATCAACAAGCGTGCAAGGAAAAGGTAAAATTACAAATAAGTACTAATGACGAAGCTAAAATATTAAATTAGAAAAATACTTTGTATGTTTAATTAGAAAAAAAAAATATTAAATTAGAAAATACTTTGTATGTGCCTAATCTAAGATCAAATCTAATGTTAGTAGCAAAAATAGATAACAAAGATAGTAAACAAAGATAATATAGTAATCTGTAAGAAAAATACAGCTATTATAAAAGACAGTAATAATAAAGTAAAGATGATAGCTGATTGGCAATTTGTTTCAGTTGAGAAAAACTGAAAATAAAATTTTACAACATATACAAGAAATAAAAAATGAGCCATCATGACTCATTTGAATGAAGAAAGTTTGAGAAAAGTTGTAAAGCAGACGACTAACATAAAATTCAACAAAGACGAAAGTATCGCAAATTGTAAAGTGCGTGCTTTAGACAAAACAGCAGCACCTTTTAATCACTCAAGTGAAAGATGCAAAAATCTATTGCATAGAATACACTTGTATGTGGTCCTCATTGTATCAAGTTTGAGTGGAGTACTTTCATTCATTGATAATTTTTCAAGATAGTTTGTTGATATTAAATATTGAAAAGCAAAAATGAGGAAAATTGGAAAATTTAAAGAGTACAAAATCATAATAGAAAACTGAACAGAAAGAAAAATTAAGCAGTTGCAAAGTGATAATGGAATTGAGTATTGCAACAATGAGTTTGATAATTATCTAAAAACTAATGAAATAACAAGAAGACTCTCAGCTCCCCATACTCCTCAACAAAATGGATTGGCTGAATGGAAGAATCGTACACTAATGGAAACTGATGAGATGTATGCTGATTGAATCAGTATGCATCCGTCGAGGAGAGATATTAATGGCAGTTAACTACATCCAGAACAGATGCCCAAACAATGCACTGGATAGTGAAATCTCATATAAATTATTTTGTGGCAAGACCTTAAATATATAAAAACATTTGGGTCAAATGTCTAGTCTAGATAAAAATAAAAGGCTAAATTATTGGGTTGTCGGAAAAGTCATGACGCATTTTTGTAACAGGCGCTAGTTCATTTTTGGAAGTACTAAAATCATTGGCATCTGTTATTGCTATGTCATTTGACAGTTTTAGCTGACAGTTTTAGCTTTATTCTAAAAAAAAAAAAAATTGAGCGATTTGGTTGAGTTTTGGAGATTTTATAACAAGCTGAAAATGGAAGTGCATTTTCGCTATATATTACTGTTTACTTCTGTAAAGGGAAGAACGCGCGTCAAGCTTGTGAAAAGTTGCGTAAAGTTTACGGTGACAATGCTCTACAAGAATGCTAATGATGGTTACGAAATTCCGTGCTGGTGATTTTTGATCTCAACGACGCTCCTCGGTGAGGGAGGCCCATCAAGGTTGATGACGACAAATAAAGGCGAATCAACGTTACAAGACACGAGAGATTGTAGAAACATTGAACATCCATCATTCAAGCGTTCACAATCACCTGAAAAAACTGGGATACGTAAGCAAACTCGATATTTGAGTTCCTCATAAACTCAAAGAAGTTTATTTGACGGCGCATATAAACATCTGCGATATGTTCATTAAACGTGAGAAAAACGATCCTTTTTTGAAGCGACTAATAACTGGTGATGAGAAATGGATTATTTACAACAATGTAGTGCGCAAACGGTCTTGGTCCAAACGTGATGATTC